CTGCAAATATTGTTATTTTATGTTTTTATATAAATAAAAAAGTTTACAAATAAAACAAACTATAATCTCACTATATTGCTGCATCTGCAGGTTTTCTCACTTAAAATATACATCTGCATTTTCCACGACAAACCATTCTTTCTCATCTTTAATAAATTGGTAAAAAATTAATATTCTATGGAATGGGTTTCATCAATGATATTATTTTAACTTAAATTAACTTATCTTTCCATTTTAAACTCGTAATGACGTCTACTGCTTCATTGTCTTTTGATGGATACATATAAATAAATACAAAGAGTAAGAATTAAGTATGTAAAATGCTTCCGAAAAGCTTGCATTTGACATTTGAAGCTTTTGCTGTACAACATGGCCCTCTATTCGGCCTCACTTCCGATAGGAGAGCGCGAAGTCAGCTATCTAGCGGAGAGTATATACATCATTGAGTTCCGCCTACGTCCGACACCGAAGCAGCCATTCCGGAAAGCGTAGTTCCCGAAGGCGCCGGCAGTCGCGCCACGTGCAAGGAAGCAGCACCGGCAGGCTTCCAAAGCGCCCCTTCACATCGGCGAAGAACCGTCAGCCACGCAGGGTTTCAACGCCCACACTCCCATCGGCGTGAAACGGTGCACCGAGAATCCGACTTACAACTTTAAAGCACTGACTTCCTCCGCATTATCACCGGAATTCTATTTCGGATGTTGACGCTGCGACTTAATTTGGCAGCTAATTCAATAGTGACGAAAATCAACTCGTTCCCAAGCCAAAAGATTTACTAAACGGACACACGATTTGGTGATTGCTCAAAAATTAACAAAATGAAATCAACATTATCTTCAAGCTTTCAAGGACTTTTCTTCTTTTGAAAACGGGAAAAAGGGTACCAAACAGTAACGTTTAAAACAACAGTCCGTAAAAACTATAAAAAGTCATTGAAATGAATCTTCCAGTATGTTATGTTGTTGAACGTTGAGTACACAATATCTGTCACAAGGATTTTCATATGATAGCCTCTTTTTAAAGAATTAAATGAGGAAAAGGAAAGGTTAGAAGAAACCATTTCGTGGTTATTGGAACATATTCATTGCTGAAACGAAGTGAAGGTAAAATTATATTTATGATCGCGTAAAAAAATAATATATAGAAAATTACAGAACGTTATCATAGGTAATTGGTAACATCGATAGAAATTGACAAATCCTCGACTTGCGAAGCGAGGAGGGGATTTATCTGAGAATTTCCAAAGCACGAGTGGTATTTAGTAGGACTATTCCACGAGTGAAATTATGTCCAACAGAGTTCCAAAATGCGCCAAATATTGAAAATTACTGAAAGCTGTATTACGATCAAATATGTAACGTTATAGGACATACGCGGTTTATAGGGCATCGACAATGGGGATCGATGTATACCGTCTCCTAAAATAGAAAAATTTGTCTATGATTGGCCATAGGGATGAGCGGTAAGATAAGTCGGATAGAAAAAACTATTAACTTTTTGAGATATACCGCTCTGATTGGGGCATTTTGTATGTATAGTTAAACACTATAGGTTTTAATTTCAGAGTGGAATAGAATAAACACTTCGAGAATTGAACAAATGCAGTGTAAAGAATTTAAATTTGCATACATTTTAAAAATATTTTCTTTGGCCTTTACTTTCCTGGCATTTTTGTGATTCCGTGATTGTTACAATACACTTAATGAAATTCAGCAGCACGTTTCATCGTACCATTTAATTATTCGTTGTCGTAATTTACATCACATTCAGAAATATTAGTCCAACAAATTGTTAGATTTTTCTTTTTAGAATTATAAAATGTAAAATGATACAAGAATGTCTCAAGATTTGATTCAACCGAAGTAGAAAGAGGGCCCTCCTTTCACTGAGCAACACTGATGCTGATTAGGAGGAAAAGGAAAACAAAATAATACAAATTAATATATTTAGGATCATGTGGAAAACCAGTCTACCGAAGAAACAAATTTAAGTTACAACTAAAACTTGGCAGACTTAAAGAAATTGTTTAAAGACAAAGGTGAACGTGAATTATTAATGAAGGAAAACGCAGACCGCTGTAGACATCAACAAACTTACTCTCCCGGGTGCCGCACCGAATCCCGACTGCTCTTCGCCGAGCAGAACGCCCGCGTTCCGCCTCGGCGTCGCGCGCCGGCCAAAAGGTCGCGCGCCCGAGCGACGCGCCAGTGAAGTTGCACGCGCATTAACGCACGACCGCTCATCGAGCGGCGTGCGTTGACGCGTTATTTACCGATCGCATTTGGACGGGGGCGCGCGGGGGCGGGGCGGGGC